CTGCGGGAGAAGACGAGCGCCAGATGTATATTGGGGCGTGAAGTTGGGCATCTATGATTAGGTTATAAGATTATCTATATTAATTGAACTGCATATATGATCAAAACAACTATAAAGAAATAACAATATTAGTTAAACTCTCATATGAATAAATTGTTTATACTATAGTGTCACAATAGTATCAACAAAAGGCCAATTTCTAACGTTAACTGAATAAATCATATATAACCATACTGTGATTTGAAAATATAACAGATACGGCTTCTGTATATATATATATATATATATATATATATATATATATATATATATATATATATATATATATATATACATATATATATATATATATATATATATATATATATATATATATATATATATATATATATATATATATATACACACACACACACACACACACACCACACACACACACACACACACACACACACACACACACACACACACACAGCGTAACGAGCCCCCTGCCCAGGGTGACGGGCTCCCCTCCGGCCAGGACTATGGCCGGACCTCTGCCCATGGAAGCGGGCCCCGCCGTAGTCCGGGTCAAGACTGGACCCCTGCCCAGGGTGACGGGCTCCCTAGCGACCAGAGATATGGCCGCCCCTGTACCCAGGGCGTCGGGCCCCTCCCCCACCAGGGTAAGGGTGGAGTTTGCAATACAAACAGTGAACCGTCCGAACCAGCAAACAGTGCAAGTGAAAGCACTATAAACAGTGTAGACAGTGCAGACAGTGAAACAAACGATCAGATTTACAACTTCGGCAGCCTTATAATTGTTCTAAATACGATTTTGTGCTTCATTGCGACCAAAAAGTTGTGGGCTAGGATGTTGATTTGTGAACAACTCCCGCTCCCGAGGACATCGGGGAAGCACACAATATTGTAATTGAACTGTCCGATGCAAGGCGACCCAGAATCACAACTCGTGAAACGAAAAGAATGATCAATGTAACAGTGCATACCATGCTTAACGATCTGGTAGACAATAAGAATATCATCTTCGCATCAACAACAATAGAGGTGCCAAGCGACAAGATCCCATCCGTCAAAAAGCAAGGAATCTCGACGCCTTTCACAAAATTTTTCACCAAAACGAAAAGTGAGGGAACCCAAACACACACAGTGCCAACCGATCCTACGTCCGGTGACTCGCTTAATGTGCTTCAAAACAAAGTCGATGTGTTAATGGAAATGTTTATGAAGCAACAAGCAACCCTCAACAATCTCTTTGAGAATGAGGAAGGTATGCCGTGGCGTTCGCCAGCACGGAAGTCCGGTAGGTCTGACAGCATCAATTCTTTGTCCGACGCGTCTAGTCTCTCCCCCCCTCCCTACCAGATTCCCCCTGACAACGTAGCCTCCCCAGACACATCTTGCTACCAACCCTTTCCCTTCTGCTCTATCCCCCCACCCCCTTAATTCCCCCACACAACCAAACTCACACACACCCATCGACACTCTCCCACCTCCCCACACCGAACCTCATATGATCCCAGCCCAGAACCTATTAAGAACCCTAGCCCTGAACCCCTCGTGAACCCCAGCCCCACGTCACCCTCCCGGGGTAATGCAACTGCTAACCCAGTGCTACCCGAACCTGACGTCATCACCGGCCAGTGTTGTGCGGCACTGCAGGCGCGCGACCCTGCTGACGCAAGCGAGCCGCGCATTCCTCCTCGGCCGGCCCGGCGTCAAAATCCCCCTCAAGACCCCCACATTCATCAGCAACAGAGAAGATGAGCAACAAAGAAACACAGGTGACGCCCACGCGCAACAACACTAGAAATAGCAACAGGAGAAACAAGCGGAACAACAGAAGGGGAAACGACAAGCAAGAAAACACAGTTCCCCCTCCACCAACCGCACCGAACCGCGAGTGGAGTGATGCAAAGTACCACCACGTGCCCGGGGTTCCCCAGCCCGACAGTAGTAACACGGCTCCTGTTGTGATAAATAATAACTACAGTCACAACCATGTAAGACACGAAACGTCTAATCCAAGCAATGTGGATGCGGATGGGTTTACTCTCGTGGAAAAAAGAAAAAAGAAGACAAAATAGAACAAAGATCTACCGCTAAACCTTTACAGGGGCAGCTAAACCAGAGGTGTTGTACCTTTACATAACAAACTGCCACACAGACACTGAGGAAGCAGATATCGAGAATCACCTACTCGTTAACTTCCCTGAGGTGGACGATGTAAATGCATTCAAAACAAAAATGAGTCATTCATATTATGCCAGCATCACTGTTTCTCTTAAAGGCAAAGCACTTGTAGCTGATGAATTTCTGGTCAGATTCCTTCCCCAGCCCCGTGAGAGTCTTTTTAAATAAAAAGTACAAAACCTTGCAACCCGAGCGGGATGTTTGACCAAAATGACTTGTCAACAATTGCGCCAGCTAACGCAAGACCCTGCAGAACACTTCCCAGCATTTACCTTGCAAATGCATGCTGCCTTACAAACAAAGTGGACGAACTTAATGTCATAATGAAACAAAATACTATCGATATTGCAGTAATCACAGAAACTTGGTTCAAAGACGATACATTAAACATCGGAACCATACAGGGGTACCACTTATTTAACAAAATTCGTCAGGGCAGAAAAGGTGGTGGCGTTGGTATCTACATCAAAGAGACTATCCCCTGTAAACACAAAAATCCATCTGTCCACCAAGTGACGACCTTGAAACATTATGGCTCGCTGTTAGACCTACATGGCTGCCTCGCGAAATCAGTGTGCTCGTAATCTGCGGGATATATTTCCCCCCAAGGGCACCTACCGAAGAAAGCCTCAGAGAACACATAATAGAAAATGTGTTCATCCTCCAAGCAAAGTACGGAAATCCCTTTTTTGTAATTCTTGGCGACCTGAACACTTTTTCTGATTATGAAATCACCTCTGTACTGAATTTTAAGCAGGTTGTGTCATTCGCCACGCGTGGGAAAAATACCCTGGACAAAATCATAACAAATAAAGAGCATTTTTATGAAAGTCCAACTTCCCTGCCCCCTTTAGGCAATAGTGATCACTTGTCGCTGCTCTGGGTACCAAAGAAATACCAGACACCCACGCAATTAAAGGGAACAAAACTTATTCGTAGATTCCCTGATTTTAAAATCCGCGAGTTCGGATCATGGATTAATCATCATGACTGGGCCGACGTTCTCAACGCCCCCGACCCGAACACTAAATGCCAACTTTTTTATAAATCAATCTGGAACCAAGTTGACAACTGCTTCCCCTTAAAAAGAACTTCCATCCACCATCAGGACAAACCATGGGTCACCAACAGGATCAAAGACCTTATCCTGGCAAGACAAAAAGCTTACAAAACAAAAAACTCCGATGCAACAAAGTGCTTGGCAAAAAAGGTTAGAGATAAGATCGGCTAAGAAAAATTATCATAAGCAAATGATTGATAAAATCAGTGACGCAAATCCCAAATCGTGGTATAGCCATATTCGGAATTTAATCGGTGACAAAAGAAGTGACAGTTACCTCTCTCATATCAGCGAAAGCGCTGCTAACATCATCAACTGTCACTTTGCGAACATCAAAAAGCAAATCTCTGGCCCTAATGACATCCCGCCGAGGTTACTACGTGAATTCGCTCCCGAGCTCGCCACCCCCCTCTGCGACATCTTTAACTGCTCCATCACTGAGGGCGTGGTGCCTGACCTATGGAAGCGTGCTATCACAGTCCCAATTCCCAAAACAAATCCACCTAATTCTCTCGATGACCTTAGGCCCATATCATTAACACCTATTCCTTGCAAAATACTCGAGAGAATAATTGCTAAAGAATTGTGGAAAATATTCGCCCCAAAATTAGATCATCGTCAATTTGGAAATACCAAGGGTAGCTCCACAGTCCACTACCTAGTTGACCTGATCAATTACATCACTTCAAATGTAGACAAAAGACTCGAGGTCACTACCGTCACCATCGACCTGAGGAAAGCATTTGATCTTATCGACCACACCCCATTAATTAAGAAAATGATTTCTCTGGGTTTCCACGAGGGCTGGGTGAAGTGGATATCTTCCTTCATCAACCTTCGTTCCCAGAGGACTCGTGCAAACAACCAGATATCCGATGAAATTGATCTTCACTGCGGTGTCCCCCAAGGAACGGTCCTCGGCCAATTATTATTTCTGATAATGGTAAATGAGGACAAAATTCCGCACGTGAAGATCTACAAATATGTGGACGACATGACACTTGCAAGAGCACATCAACCAGGGCAAGGAAACACCTTATTACAAGACGCCCTTAAACAAGTGTCAGAGTGGGCTTCATCTAACAAAATTGTCAACACCAAGAAATGCACAGAAACAAAATTGAAGATTAACAAATTAGCCGAGAGTGGCAGTACTCTAAAAATAGGCGAGGAACTCTTAACTCGGGCCAAAGAGGTGAATCTATTGGGAACAGTTATCAGTGACGATTTAAAGTGGTTCGCCAACACCAAGAAACTGATTTCAAAGTGTGGAAGAAAGTTCTTTATGCTAACCAAATTAAAATCTTTCGGTGCATCCCAAGAAGACCTCTTTCGCATATGGACGACTTTCCTTCGACCAGTCTGTGAATATGTAGCACCAGTCTGGCATTCGTCCATTACCAACTTTGAAAAAATAAAATTAGAAAGACTTCAGAAAAGAGCATTACGTATCATTCTCGGGTCAAACTACACCACATACACAGAGGCATTAAACCAACTGCAGATACCCTCTTTAGAAGACCGGAGAAAATCCCTAACAGAAAAATTCGCACACAACATCTTTACATCTACGAGACATCGGCACCTGCTTCCCGACTTGCGTCAATCAAGCAGACATCTTGGTGAGGATGTTAATAAATTATGTGAACCAAAGTGTCATACATCCAGATATTACATGTCTACTATGTATTGTAGACACTTAAATGATAACTTTGTAAAGTAATAATTCTACCCTTGTAACTAAAAC